TACCTGTTTTGTTGCTTTACATCTTCCACTGATGTTTTGCTTGCGAGTTCGCTTGATTCTGAAGAATTTTGTTTTCTTCTTAAATGTCGATGAAAACTGTCAAATCAATCGCTTTTTGGAATTCTAAGACGGCTCCATCATAGTGAGTTAAGTACTCACTGCAGGCCCGCTGATCAGGGTAGCTTCTCTCAGGCAAATGTGGTAACAAATTGGCAATTTTGATGGAGAGATGCTGGACTGAGTTAGCGGTCAACGTATACAAAGTACGTTAGATGTCCGTATAATCAATTTCTCAAGAAAGGTCAGCGGTCTAAAGTAACAAAAACCATAAGCCACAGTCACAGCAGCAAGTTTTACGAGGGGTGCTGGAGCCTTAGAAAACTTTTGGTGCCGGCGGATTAACGCTTCAGCAGGACTCAGCTTTGCAAATTCGCTCCATTAAACGATTGTCATCTATCGAGAGCAGTTTTCAGCTTTTGGTGCAAAGACATATGGCCTTAAAATTCGCCTTATCTCAACCAAATGAAATACTCCATGTGATTTATTATAGAGGAACAAATCTAGCTACTCGTAACACTAGCTTAGATGCGCTTGAAACGAATTTGACACGTGCTTGGGACGAAGTTACGTGGGAAATGTATGCAAGCATCTTGTTCATTCCGAACTACTGTGATTCGCCAATTTTTACGAGCCATGACTTCAGCACAACTGAAAATAAACAATTAAATGAAGCAGATCATAGGCCAAATTTGAACAAAATTCAATAAATTCCCAAATCCGATATTTATTAACCTCGGCATGCTTCAGTGAATCCTTATTTTCTTCTTAAGCGTGGCACGAGGTGTTATACTGTTCTTTATTTATACAGCTAACTTTTCGGAAGTACATTTTCTTCAGAGTCTGCAATGGTCAAGTTGTCCACAATTCAATCAGACCTTACCAGGCTCTGAAGAAGGCGAAATGTCTAAACGTCAGCTGTTGCAATAAAGGTTAATAAACCTCGTGCTTGACATAAGAAGAAGATTAGGAATGAATTCAATAAATTTATCAGCATTGATGAAAAATATCACCTGATAAATATTTTTTGAGCCAACATGTTATGTGGCTATTAATGGGCACTAGTACAGCCCAGTACACGTGTTGCGGCCGTGGTAGCCTCTTCATTTGGGCAGGCCTTTCGTCTGTTAGCCAAACCTCTCGGGTTTCCTTACATCCCCCTACATAGAGTAGGCGACTACGTACAATTTGCAAGTGCCGTCAAGTGAATAATCACTAGATTGGCAGTGTTTTTACACTCAATTTATCTTGGCTGATATTACTGAAATATCATACCGTTCGTTTTGAGTGGTTCAAAAGATATCATATCAATGCTAAAATCGATAGAATGAAAATTGTAGTAACTTTTTAATCTACCTGGATTGCACTGCTCATGTAACTACTGCATTTCGAGTGTATCAGCGCTGTAAGTCACTCTTTATTATCGACAAATTTCCACACTGCTCAGTCTGAGATTAAAAAAAAAAACTAGTACATAGTAGTAGTGTGATAGCGTAACGCAAACAAGTTTTCAATCCGATTTTCTACCTGAATATGCATCTGAACACGTATAAGATGTATCCAGTTTCATCAATGACGCTTTGATGAACTAGCAAACAACATTATTGACGGATTTGCAGCACTAAATACACTTTTTTTTACAACAAAACTTCCTTGCCTTCAACGACACAAGACTCTCAGTTACCTCATTGACATCAACTCTCGAGCCAGTCATAGAGTTTTTCTTTCCAGAGACCAATGCCTGCTTTCCTCATTACTTCATTAGTTTTTCATCATTTTCTCTTCTTTCCTAGAACGTGAAAATAACTTCACGTAAATGTAACGCCTAAAGCGAATTTTCGCGATAGCATTTTATAGAGCGTTGCAAAGTTTACCCTGCAATATTTTCAGCATAGTTATGTGTTCCCAAGACTAAAAATGTTCCTAAGAAAAGTTTTTCATAAACTAAGAAGGGCTGTCCGTCATTGGTATTTCACCTCATCAGGACTGGACATTGTTTCTCTGTTGCAACTACGACATAAAGTGAACACGTTCATTCCCAAAATAAATCCAAAGTTGAGAACAAAGTCGGAATTACTATAGGAAGACGTAGCTGAAAGGAAGCAATACCTGGGATCGTGTTCCCTATATCAGTAACTTTAAAAAAGTGTTTAAACCTTTCAGATGAACTACATTTTTAAGTAGGAAATCATCTAATTTGACCGCCGAATGCGGTGTAATGGTGTTTAAATACCTTTTTTAGTTCTTTTTTTTGACGCCTTGTACTACTCAACACTTTGACGCCGACGGATTTATGCCTTAGTGGGACTGTAATGGGGGCCCGTTCAACAACTACCATCTGTCAAGAGCTATCTCCAGGCTTTTGGGAAAACAACATTTGGCGGCCATCATCGGATCTCAACCCAGAAGGCTGTTCCGTGTGATTCCTACTAAAGGAAAAAGTCTCGACTATCGCCACACCATCGTAATAGACGGGCTCATAACGGCTTTGAAAGCTTGAGACGAAATTACTATGGAAACGTGTGCGAGCAACATTGAAAATTTTTACAAGCTCGTTACAAATTTTCTTGTTTATTGTTATGGTTGTTGATATAATAAACGTAATTATCAATTGAAAAAATTTGAGAGCTCGTTACAAACTTTCTTGTTTATTGTTATGGTTGTTGATATAATAAACGTAATTATCAATTGAATAAATTTAAGTGTTTATGCAGTAATTTTCTACTGTTAAGATATCTGGAAAATTGACAGAACTTTTTTCGCACTAATATATATATATATATATATATATATTATATATATATATATATATATATGATGTCTATTATCTTGTTATATTGGAGAAACGTCGCTAGTCTAGAAAGATATCAATGCAACCACAGAAACTTTTGAATTTTCTCAGATGTTGTTCTTGTCTGCAGTTCCAATACAACACGTCAAGAATTTCCAAAAAACTAAGCTTTCTTTCCGAAGGATTTGAATTTTAATTGAGTTTACAATGAAGTAAGCGTCAATGAAAGCTGCACATACTGTTGAGCGACAGAGCAAAAATTCTCGTAAGTTTACTAATAAAATCTATCGACAATTATCGAGAGCCAATTACTCGTCACGGCCATATTCGTTCTGTTCGATGCTTTGCAGCAAATTACTTCCGAAATTCGCCCCGTTGGAGTTTTATATCCTTTTTGGGTTTCATGAAATGAAATACGAAAAACCTTCCCAAGCATAAGCAAACAAGAACAGCTTTGATATCCCTTCATTTTTATTTGAGCCAGCACGACATGTGGTCTAGTAAAGGGTTCTTGTACAGCCCGATACATGTGTTTCGACCTTACAGTCTCGTCGGCCGGGCAGAAGCCGTCGTCTTTTAGTCTTTTTAGCCAATCCTTGCGGGTGCTTTAGTCCCCTCACTATAAGGTATTGAAGATGGACGCTCAACACTGCAACTCAAGTGAAGATATCACCGAACCCACAGTGCTGTACACTCGCTTGCTCTTTGGCTGGTTTTTTCATCATATTATACCTTTATTTTGAGTGCTCTATTGAGACCACGCTCAAATTTCAATAGATTCCTTCATTTTTATTATAATAATTACAAATATAACTATTTATAAATAAAAATGAAGAGAACACTTGAAATTTGAACTTGGTCTCAATAAAACACTCGAAATAAAGCTTGGATATCATCAGCACTTTATGCACACTATATTTGATTGAAATGCGTGACAGACTAAAATAATTTTTCAAAGTAGTAGATTTTTCGTAGTGGTAATAAATTGATATCGCCACATCGCAGCGTCAATGACAGTAGTTCATCCGGCTTTTTTGTATAAAAATTCAATAGCACTTCATGTGACAAATATTCGCCGTTCTATCACCCCCTTTTCATATCCAGAATAAGTGCAAAGCTTATTTTACACCCATTTTACATTATTTGTCAGTTGGTTTCATTATTTATTCTTTCAAGCATTGCCAATCATCAATATTATTGCCATCCTTTTCCTACATTTTCCCCAAAAATCCTATTTTACGCTTTCTCTTTTCTCTACCAGATAAACGGAATATCTATGCGTTATGTTCAAGTACGTATCCTAAGGCATCACATGTATAACTTGTCGTCCCGTTCATCGTCGACTGATTTGAACGGGCACCAGCGAACTTCCTACTTCAATATGTCACATGCTAGAGAAGCACGATGAGTTCTGTTCCCTCTGGAACTCCTTGAGCACCATATTTTAACCCTAGAATATTCGTGAAGAAATACGACATCGGATCGGTAATCTTTTGCAAGACGTTTGACATTGCGAGTAATCTAGTCACTAGCCTCTCTTGTGAAAACTACCTTGTACTCTTGTCTTTTCCATTTGCGATTTGAACCCAAAAAATGAACTCGACCAAAAAAGTGTACGTGGTAAATTACTGAAAGTAGAGAATGGCTGTTTTGATAAGGCCATTATTACATAGATTTGCTTTTAATTATCTATATGAGTATAAATAGTCTGGCAATACTAAGTTTGAATTGTACACTATCAATCCAAATCGTTCATTTGGACAACAATGATTGGACGTATACGTCCATTTGTAGAGAATGCGTTAACTCACCTTGAAATTCACCTTCTCGGACGACGTTGACTAACTTTTGAAAGATCTTTGAATTTTGCAGTCATTAAAATCACTTCTTGCTGGTGACACTAAAATATCGGCTTCTAAAAATAATAATTCCTTTCTAAATTCGATATTCAACAAAAGGGCCATACAACTGCCGTAACTTCAATCTCCATAAACTCTCCACCTTTTAGCTTCCTACGTTTCATTCTTGATAATAGCGCTATAAAGTTTTTTCGAAGTATAATGAGATTCGGAAATCATTTTATTCGACCGCCTAATGCGGTATTATGATGATTCATTGAACTCAATGATGTAGAGTGGTGTGCAAAAGCGTTCGCGTCAGGCGGAATTCGAACCCATATCTTACTTTCTGGGAGCATGTGCTAAACCGTTGCACCACCGACACTCGTTTTGCACTCCACTCTTTCTACGCTACAACGCGTTATCTGTCAACAGCCAACCGTCTACGGTGTGGCGGAGCAGTCATTATCGACGACATCATAACCCCGCAATAGGCGGTCAAATAAAATGATTTCCGTTTGATATTGAAATTCAATATCTGCCAACATAAGTGGGTTCAATGTCGATAATGACTGCCCCGCCAACCGTAGACGGTTGGCTGTTGACAGATAACGCGTTGTAGCGTAGAAAGAGTTGAGTAAAAACGAGCATCGGTGGTGGCGACGGTTTAGCACATGCTCCCAGGCAAGATTAAGATATGGGTTCGAATCCCGGCTGACGAAACGTTTTTGCACATCACTCTACATCATTGGGTTTATAATAAGAATTCTTATGCTCTTGTTTTTTTGCTTAATAAGATGCTGTTGTATAAACAAATTCGAAATGGCCCACTCATTTACAACGGCACAATAAGTGAAAAGGAGTCTGGCCAATACTGCGATTGGTAGCTTTTATTCATTCCTCCGAAGCATAAGCATTTTGATGATTCAATGTTCTGCATAGATGAAGCTGATCACATTTGTATTTAACCGGGTCCTGTACAAACAAAAAAGAAGTGGATAAATGAGTGGTTTTCATGAATTTTTTGTATCCCTTCTGGAAAATTGCATCCCTGATCTCAGTTTGGATTTGAAATTGATGCCAGACATTCTATTCCATTTTCACAATGATGACGGTAATTATGCATCATAGACTCCTATAGGAGGGTTGTGCCATAGGCAAACATTCATAAATGAATCTCACATTCACACAATTAGACAAGATCTGTGAAATGACGAAGTTAAACTCAGGGTGATCAAGATAAGATTTCCTGGCATATTATTTACCATGAGGCGTGCATGTGGCGCAGTGGTGTGAATTGGTACCAGACTTTTTTAGGAGAACAAGCAGCACTGACTAGATGCAACAATAGACTAGTTCCTATAGTTGCCAGATAAATTATTCAATTACCTCAAACAATATTTGATGAAAGTTAATGCATGACACCTCCACCTTAGATTGATCGGCGCTTAAAGCTTTTTTCTTTATTCACTGCCATATTTCATGTACAAGCAGTCTTGATTTTGATATTGCAGCCTCCCAAAATTCAACACAGGATCGAATCCATTGCCTTTAACAGTGGGTGAAATTCCTTTGTAGGCAGAAACAGGCTGCAAATACTTGAACTAAGACGCCGATCCTTTTGCAGTCTCTGTGATTTTTTGCTACCTTTGGATTCAGAATGTACTGCAATCAATAGAAATTATATGGAAACTACAGCAAATCCTAATTACCTCTAGTATTCAATTCGTCCTCGTCTTTAAATGTGTTGCGCATCTGGGCCGACATTGCTTAACAGTTTACTCTTTTTACGGCCATTTAGAACTAATAGTTCATAAAAGAAAACTGTTGGATATGGTTGAGCTTATTCTGATTTAGACAACCTTTTTATAAATACTCTATTATCTGCTATTAAAGCAGCCACTGACATTGGTATGACTTCCACTGATCTAATGAAGTACGCGACTCATCCATTGAATCGACTGTTTTTGAACCTCGTTATAAATATTCAAGTGGTGATGACCACTTACCACGTACGCCTCCCTCCTTGCTATAATGCAGGGCTTAATGTGGGGGCGGGGTCACTGACAAGGAGTTCGAGCCTCCGAAACACCGGTGTATGGCCCTGGCGTACCAACCTCGTTTTAGGCTAAAACCATTCTTTTTTTTTGGATTTGATTTTGAATACACGACTCATCGTTGGCAATGATGTGTTACCTAGTCCCTCGCATTCTAACAAGATGCCAGTCTACACGCGTTGCTTTTGGGCATTCGGTGGTCGCTTTCACTTCGCTTACAATGCAGTCGACAAGTAAGATTTTATGAATTCTGTTGGTCGTCTCACCGCCTTACGTTATAGACAGGAGATTCCAGTGTGCACTGTAGTGAAGCTGGCCTGTTTTACTGATTGTCACTTTTTCTTCTTGATCTGACTAACCTTGCCAAGACGTTCTGCTGTTTCACCGCAATGCAGTTTGAGTGCAGTGTGTTTTCAGCAGCTATTCTCTTGATAAATCCTCCTAGTTGATTCGGAGACGTTATTTGAACCGAGATCAAAGATGAGACTAAAAATGAAATAAAGAAAAAATATAGAAACCGAAAGTATAGGAAGTCAGTAAACGTACTACACATGCGCACAGTGACCGTACTCTTACAGACTGAATTTTTTGCCTAAGGCACATAGGTGGTACCACTTTTTCTCTCCAAGATTTCACTCAACTGCAAGCTGGAGTTGAGTTCATGTAGTTGACAAACAAGAAGAAGTTATGCTGTATTTGAGGAGAACATCTTGAGCGTTGTTCAAGCATAACTTGCGGAAGAGGAAAAACCCGATCGTAAACTACGAGATATTTGTCGACAAAACTCAAAAATTTCCACGAATTTGTTTCACTTTGCCAAACAACAAAATTCGCATTTCCATCAGCACTGAGGTGATGTTTGAAGAAAAAGCTATAACTGAGGTTTGATGCCTAACACTGCTGATGATCAATGTCAGTTGAAGATTTTTGAGGGATATCTGCATTGAAATAGGCAGAAACAGTTGTTTCAACGATGCTCAAAAACAATCTAGTCCCGAAAAGTCTGTCAGGATCAATGCGATGCAACTTTCCGTTATCCACCCTAATTTAAAAGATGACACCACCACTATATCGCGCCATGATGTGCGATTTATTAGGGAGACATCTCTACAGTCTCTCCGTTATACAACCCCTCTATCACGGACCTCGAAATCCCCACCAGTTAAAAACCTCCCAGATTCTACACTCCAAGCTTAACGTTAGGATTGAAACAATGAGGACAGGCATAGCTACAGAACCTGATAACAGCACCGCCGTCTTTCTTAGCCACCGTAGCTGGAAACACTAAATCTGTAAGGTGTACGAATATGACTCTGCCGTTTTTTTCTTTGCTGTAATAACAGTAAATTCTGATTTTCTTCTTTGAACAAATAGCAAGTGCGACTGTCTATTAACCTCGGCATGCTTCAGTAATTCTTATTTTTTTCTTTCTTCTCAAACAGGGCCACAAGGTGTTATATCCAACTTTATTCACACAATTAACACAGCTGACGTTTCGGCGGGTCGCCTTCGTCAGAGCCTGGAAAGGTCAAAGTTATTTACAATCCAGTCAGTCAAACACTTCCATCACTTCTTTAGAGAAGATTGTCAGACCTAGATTTCGATAGCATCAAGCACAAAGTCAACCTTTAACATACTCACCGCTTTTTATTATATGTCCTCCACTCAGCGAACAGGTGAAGAACAACGGAACGGTAATCACACAGGCTTGTAATGCTCTATACCCATCAAAACAACAGTGCAGATGCCCTAAGCCTGCTCTTATCAAACATCGTTTTATAGCCGTACCTGTCTCATTTTAAAAGAACGGGAGGATAGATGGGATCTTACTCTCTCTAGAACTTTCGTGCAAGGACGTGTTGCTTTCTCTAACTTGGGGGTTACAATGTTGTAACCATTAGAAATAGCCATTTCCCGAGCTAGCTTTTCGAATTCTTCTTCTCTGCTCCTCTCCGGTGCACACACGGGCGGCTGTTCCAAGAATGTTTTTTCTAAAGCCTTTTTTACGCGCGAGGGATGACAGGAGAGTTCTAACCCGTGTATATAAACTCGCCGCGCGCGACTTAATGCAAAGGTCCTAGCATATCTAGTTTTCGACTACACGCGAGCTGATCACGAGGGAAAATTGTCTTAACACGCAAAGGTGCACATGGTGACTGCTTAATTGATTGATACCTCGGCTTGCACAGACCTTTTTGACTAGCACTTGTTATAAAGTGCCAAATATCCGAACCATGTATGATAAATTTCTCAAAAACTTATCTTATTGAATTAGCTATTGATCAAGTTCTATATAAACGGTGTTTGCAATTCAAGTTATTTGGGTCTCCTGCGTATGTATGACATGTGATTGCAGTAAGCTGTTCAATTAGTTTTGCCGCACCTTATTGCTATGTTCAATTGCCGTAAAATGTTGTCCTATGTTGATGCCGTTTTGATTATGCACTAATCTATCATACGCTAGACTCTTGTTTGAATTGTTTTTAAAAAAATTCAAAAAGCGACCGTCTGTGATCTTGTCAGAGGAATAATTCAAGGTTTGTGTTGTCCCAACAGTTCGAGTGGAGAAATCTAGCTTCATTTTGCTTCTATACATATCACAAAAAAAAAAAACGCTTCTTGGAAAAGCATAGTGATCAGAAATTTGACTGGTAATAAACCATTTCATCAAGTCTAATCTTCTATGATAAGCTCAGAATGCGGAGGAGTAAGAAAAACTGAAGCAGAACCTTTATACTTATGTGGTTCGTAGCCTATCAATTCTTTTAATTGCCGGAATTGTTTCCCAATGATGTAGAGTGGTGTGCAAAAACTTTTGCCTTAGCTGGGCTTCGAACTCACATTTCACCCTATCCGGGGACGCGCACTGAATCGTTGCACAACCGACGCCCGTTTTGGCACCACTTTTTCTATAGTCCAACGCGTTATCTGTCAACAAGAGTGGTGTCCAAAAGGGCGTCGGTAATGCAATGCTTTAGCACGCGCACCTCGGATAGAGTGAAACGTGGGTTTGAATTCCACCTGTAACTGAGGCAGAAGTTCTTGCAAATCACTCCACATCATTGGGTATATTGTAACACCATACTACCGGGCGAGGCGGCCAGATAAAATTAGTTATATATGATTTTGACGAATGTTCAGAGCATTAGCGAGGTTGATACGCCAGAACCATGCACGCGTGTTTCGGAGGTCTAGCCCTTCTAGTCAGTGGCCCATGGCCCCACAATAAGCTCTGCATTGTAGCAGGGAGGGAGGCATATGCGGTGACAGCACAACGTGCAATGACATTGTGATATCACCACATTTCAGTCATCGATTTCGTGGGTCA